CAGATACCAAGGTGGGCCGAACGCGAACCTCACAGAAGGGCAATTAGCAGGGGATCCTCCAGATGACAATCCAGGGGAACAAGCAGCGCGGCTTCCACGAAGAGTGTTAAGCGACATCAAAGAAGCAGCGCGATTGGCAATCATGCAAATTACGCCGACAGGAGCTCCGGATGTCCCGTTCTCTTGCATCAGGCAAGGTCCCACAGAGCCATTCATGTCATTCATCGACCGACTCACGCAAGCCGTGGATCGACAGGTGACAACAGAAGAAGTGAAGAGGCCTCTCTTGGAGAATTTAGCTTTCGGCAATGCCAACCCGGATTGTCAACGGGTGATTAGCACCATGCCAGGACGGCCATCCTTGGCAGAGATGGTGGAGGCATGCAGCAAGGTGGGGACGCCTCAGCACGTCGCAGCGATTGTAAAGGATGAATTAAAAGAGGAATGGGAGAAACAGCTAAAGGGACGCTCAGAAGGGCAATCAGAGGACAAGACATTGGAGAAGATGTTCGAGAAATTACTTCATCAACAGGACGAAAATATCAACAAAGTTCTTGCGGCAATGCAGAAAAGGAACAGACCCCAAGGAGGACAGTGCTACGGATGTGGGGAATCTGGGCACATGAAAAGGAATTGCCCACGGACACATATACCAACGCCAGTCCAGAGAGCGGAAAGACCAATTTGCGCACGGTGCGGAAGAGGAAGACACTCTGTGAAAGAATGTTATTCCCGGACAGATGTGGAAGGAAATCCGTTGCCGCATCCGGGAAACGGGAAATTGAGCGCGGGAAACCCCCGGCGCGCTCCGACACAAATACTGGCGGTGTCACAAGAACAGACAGGGCAGTCATCAGTGAGCGACAAGCAGATGCCCTCAGCAAAACCCTCAGTCGATTCCACAGTGACCCAGACCTCCTCCCACCAGGGGCACAGTGTGCATTGGCAGCTTCAAAACTAGTATGCTTTCTAGATGAAAGTCATGCGGAGATACCAACAGGTATCCACGGGGACTCATACAAGAAACAAGATTTTTTGATAGTTGGACAAGATAAGTGCAGTATTCTTGGGCTCATTGTCTATCCAACAGTTGTCTCAGCAGACAAAAATACAGAGTTAACAGTTTTGGCAAGAGCGCTTCGTCCACCATTGACTGTGCCGGAAAATACTGTGGTTGCGAGAGCCTTTGCATTGCCACCACATGCAGTTGGAGAGGTCATGTCAATCTTCGACGAAGAAGGTCTCCCTATGAAAGAGCATGTTGAAGTACATACAACATGGGTGAAGCACATAGGTCGAGACCGACCCACGCTCACGTGCCAATTGACATGTGGGGACAGGACAATATCGATCAGAGGTATGCTCGACACAGGGGCGGATGTAACAGTAATATCGTACATCTTTTGGCCACGCAATTGGAGCTTGGTCGCGCCATTGGGCTCTCTCTCAGGCATCGGGGGAGCATCTCTGTGTCTGCAAAGTGAGAATTCCGTCGTTGTCACGGGACCAGGAGATAAGACGGCGATCATTCGTCCTTTTGTCGTTCAAAAGCCGATCACAGTCTGGGGTCGAGACCTTTTGGCACAATGGGGCGCGAAGATCGAAATGGATTTTTAATAGGGGTCACTGCAGCACTCGCCACACTGAAGCTGACATGGAAAACAGATGATCCAGTTTGGGTGGATCAGTGGCCCCTTGAGCGGAAAAAATTGAGTGCTTTGAAAGACCTGGTCCAAGAACAATTGCAGAAGGGACACATCAAGCCAACAGACAGCCCTTGGAATTCTCCGGTGTTTGTCATCAAGAAAAAGCTGTCGGGCAAATGGAGGTTGTTACACGACCTCAGGAAGATCAACGAAGTCATAGAAGACATGGGGCCACTTCAGTTGGGACTTCCATCTGTCTCGATGATTCCCAGAGATTGGCAGCTTGTGGTCATTGACCTCAAGGATTGCTTTTTCAGTATCCCACTCCATCCAGATGATGCTCCGAGATTTGCCTTTTCAGTCCCGAGTATCAACAGGGAAACGCCTCTGCAGCGGTACCATTGGGTCTGCCTTCCACAAGGCCTGAAAAATTCTCCGACGATCTGTCAATGGTACGTGGCGCGAGCTTTGGCACCAGCACGAAAGAAATTTCCGAAGGCGAAGATCATTCATTACATGGATGATTTGCTCATTGCAGCGTCAACACAACAGGAGCTGCAAGAAGCTCGTGACTGTGTGATCGCAGAGGTGCAAAAGACAGGTCTGGAAATCAGCATTTCAAAGATTCAAGAGGTTGCACCTTGGAAATATCTAGGGTGGAAAATCTCAGAGAAAACAATAAAGCCTCAAAAGGTGGAGATCAGCACAAAGGTCAACAATTTGCATGATTTGCAACAGCTTTTGGGAGAAATCAACTGGATGAGACCAGTTTTGGGAATCACAAATAGTGACATTCCAGCACTGCTTGATCTCTTGAGAGGAGACACAGACATTCGTTCTCCCAGGACACTCACACCAGAAGCAAGAAAAGAATTGGAGAAAATCTCGGATGCGATACAGAAAAGGCAGGCACATCGATTTGTTCCATCGTTGCCTTTTCAGTTGGCAGTGCTGGGGAAGAAAACGCAGTTCCATGGTTTGATCTTCCAATGGGATGAATCACAAAAGGACTCTTTGATAATCATAGAGTGGATTTTCCTACCGCACAGGCCCGCGAAAACGATTCTCACAGATCTGGAGATGGCAGCACAAATCATCATAAAGGCGAGAATGAGGCTGCTGACAATGGCAGGAAGAGAATTCTCAGTCATCAGGTTACCTCTGAAACGAGACTACTTCGATTGGGCAATGCAACAATCGAAAGACCTGTTAATCGCATTGTTAGCGTTCCCAGGAGCTTGCACAATCCACTTTCCCCAACACAGAATACTGCAGTCGCAAATATGCTATAGAGCAAAACCACAGATAAGTGAAGAACCTTTGGACGGGATCACCGTGTTCACGGATGGCTCGGGGAAGACACACAAGTCAGTAATCACGTGGAGAGACTCAACGACAGGGGATTGGGAATCAGACGTGAGGATGGTTCAGGGCTCTCCACAAATTGTGGAGTTGGCAGCCGTTGTCCGAGCATTTCAGTTGTTCAAACGGCCTCTCAATCTGGTGACAGATTCCGCATATGTTGCGGGTGTGGTCAAGAGATTGGAGGGTTCGCTCTTGAAAGAAGTCAGTAATGAGGTTTTATACTCATACCTGACAAGCTTGAAAACACTGCTAGAGAGCAGGGAAAGGGAGTATTTTATCACACACATTAGAGCGCACACAACACTTCCAGGGTTTTTAGCGGAAGGGAATGCTCGGGCGGACAGGTTGACAATGCCCATTTTGCAAACGCTGCCGGACATTTTTGAGCAGGCAAGGTTAAGTCATGCGTTCTTTCATCAGAATGCGCAAGCACTGATGGAGTCCTTTCGTCTCACAAAGAGTCAGGCGAGGGAGATCATTAGTGCTTGTCCAGACTGTCAGCTTGTGCAGCCACCTTCTTCTACCGGGGCCATCAATCCGCGGGGGCTGCAAAGTCTTCAGTTGTGGCAAGCTGATGTCACAAAATACCCATCTTTTGGGAAGCTCAAAAATGTTCATGTTTCTGTAGATACATTCTCAGGTGCAGTCTTTGCTTCAGCACATGCTGGGGAAACAGCAGACCATGCTTGCCGACACTTTCTGCAGGCATTTGCAGCATTAGGTGTGCCTCAGGAGATAAAAACAGATAATGGTCCAACATACACAGGCAGGGTGCTTGACAGATTCCTGAAAAGGTGGGGTGTCAGACACACGTTTGGTATTCCGCATTCACCCACAGGTCAGGCAATCATTGAGAGAACACATCACACCCTAAAATCCCTTCTGGACAGACAGAGAAGGGGTGAGCCAGAGGCAACACCTCACATGAAATTAAATAAGGCGTTGTATGTGCTGAATTTCCTAAATAGCTCATCCTCGGAACCTGATCCACCGATCGTGAGACATTTTCTAAACAACACACAGGCAAAGCTAAGGGAAAATCCTTTAGTTTTGATCAGAAACCCAGAGACCGGACAAATAGAGGGTCCTTTCAGACTAATCACTTGGGGAAAGGGTTTCGCTTGTATCTCCACAGATCGAGGTCTGAAGTGGGTGTCAGCGCGGCACGTGAAGCCATTCCGAACGCGAGAACACGAGAATGCTGATCCGAGAAACAAAGAGACGAGTACTCAGACAGAAGTCGAGACTCAGACTGCGAAAAACGACCCAGAAGAGAAATAAAAGAAACTAAGGACTTTGGGGGGCTTTCACATAAAAGCAAAAAAAGGTCTTTTGGTGCAAACAGAAGGGGGAGATGTGGGATCTCAGTCTCTCAGAACTGGGGTGCAGGGTGAACAAGACCCCCCCTGGGGGGCTCGGGAGTCCTGGAATGCTGCCAGAAATGTCTGGTGGCTGGACTTTGATCCCACATGGGAGATGACATCAGTATGAGGACGGGAGGATTTCACTGGGGTGAATGGTGAAGGGACAAGTTAATTGGAGTGTGAGATACAGAGTTTAAGATCCCTGTACAGGGGGGTCTAGAGAGGCAAGATGGAGGGATTGGGGCGTGCCCTTCTCCTTCTTCTTCTTCCTCTAAGCCTCCATCCTATGTGGTGATGTTGGCACTCCGGGATTGGACCTTACTAGGGGAACACTGGTTAATATGGGTAGAGGGTATTGGAGAAAAATGATAAATATTGTATACGTAACTCCGGGTATAAAGATAGGTGACCGCCCCAGGGGCTTTCAGTGTGTGCCCATGGCTGACTGCTGAGCAGAACTCTGTCAGGCCAAGAGAAAATCTTTTAGATAAGCAATTAATAAACACCAAGACCAAGAACAAATCTGAAGCTTCCTCTCGTCCTTTCGAACCCGGGGGCCCAAGGCCATCTTTGGGCTTTTTCCCAGACCATCTGAACATCCCAGAAATCCCACAGGGGAAAGAAACAGGGAAGGAGAAGGGCTCTGGTGAAGATCACACTGCCCTCCTGAGGCTCCTGGGGGAGAAGGCAAAGTTGCACCAAGACCCCATGCTGTTCTCTGATGACATTTTTTTCATTGAGCCAATGGTAAGTGATAGGTGAAAACCTCATTTTCCTCCTCTTCATCCTCCTCATCCTCCTCCCCCTCTTCCTCCTCCCACCCACTCTACCCCCGGCTGCGGTCACTGGGCAGATCCTCAGCTGGCTCAATGTGCTGGGAGGGAAGACATTGAGTTTCTGGTGCACCTGCAGAGCTTGCCTAAAAATGCCAAATGCTAAAAGCATTTCTGCCCTGGAAGCTCAAGGCAGGGTTGGGAGCCTGACAAGGCCAAGCTGTGCTGCCAGGGCCTGAGCTCAAGGGCACTCTGTGCGTGTCCTTGCAGTGTCCACAGGGAGCAGTTCTTGTAGGTAGGGGCTCCCCCCACACATGAGGTTCAGCAGAGGCTGTTGGAGCACTGCCAGGCCACATTCTGACCTGAAGCTTGCAATGGTTTGCTGGGAAAGTGAGGCCAAATTCAGCCTAAGGCTAATCATGGAAATGCCAATCCCCTCCTGTAACCACACCTTGCACTATTTCTGAATGTCCCTTCCAGTGTCCTCTGTGAGCCTGGACACAAGGGTGGAAGGTTGAAATGGGCCTTTGGAGTTGTCCTGCACACAGGGACAGAAAACCTTTTCCTTTTCTGTTTCTGCAAGCAAACCACCACGTCCTCGTATCAAACAGAGCCCTGATTCTGAGTACTGGCATTGTGAGAGACAATGAATGCCTGGTGTCTGCACAGTGCAACATCCCTTCTCATCTTGGAGTAAACGCTAGAATAATGCCAGCCTCTGCTTTCTTTCAATACAGGTTAAACTAATATTTTTATTTCCAAGGTTCTGGTTCCGGGCAAATTTGGGAGAGAACCCCCAAAGGGGCTCCTCTAGGAAAGCAGATTCAATCGGCCCCTACCCCCAACCTGTCCTGGAGAAAAGACCTCCTTGAAGTGGAAAAAACCGGTTTATTAAACAATAAAGCCTAAACAGTATTAATCAATAAAACTCCTTGCTGCTCCAAAAGAGATGACAAACTGAGAAAGTCCCTCCCCAGGTTGCAGCTCAGCTCACTCAGTCTCTGATCAGTCCCTCTGGTCCTGGAAATGTCACAGGCCAGGCCCAGCCCGGTGGCCACAAGTGGAGCTGTTGGTGCTCTGCTGGTGTTCAGTCCAGAGCAGGTTTGAACAGGTCCAAAGAAAGGAAAAAAACCCCACAGTCCAGGGAACTTCTTTGCCTCAGCAAGCTAAATTAACTAAAAGCAAAGGAGAGCTCTGAACCGCTGTCTGTCCATCTGCAGACAATGCAGTCCAGAAGCAGGAGTGTGGAGGAGTGAGTGCAGTGTCTGAAAACAAACTGCTGCTTCTTCTCTCCCCCCTTCACTCTCTGCAACAGGTCTTAAAGGTGCAACACTTATTATTCAGCATAAACAGAACAAGATGATTTGGGATAAAAGCATCATATAGTCAACCCAGGACAGGGATCATGTTCTCTTCTTGTGAAGAGCCACCAGTGCACAGTGGCAGTCGCATCCCACTGTTGCTGACAGCAGCATGATGTGACCAAGAGCCTTTGTCAGAGCAGCAGGAGTATTGTGGAGAGTGGGAGCTGAACAGCTGAGCATTGAGAGCTTCCAGCGCTGTGTTGAGCTGGGTTTGGAGTGTTTCCTTGGGCTCCTTGTGTTGTTCACTCATTACTAATGCTCTAAACAGAGGCTTACAGAAGTGTGGTTGAAAACAAGAAATGTGAAGTTTGCAGAGCAATGTTTTGCTGTCTCTTTCTGCTGTAGGAGGGAGAAATTGGGCCGAATTGTTTGGCCAAAATCAAGGTGACCTTCAAACCCCTGGAAGCACTGGAGTATGGAAGTGTGGCTTACTGCAGCATCTCAGGTACAGCTCCTTTGCCCTGCTTCTCTCCCCCTCAGTGAAGCCATGGTGCAAGCCTGAGCCCACTGGGCTCCCATGGAAGTGCTGGGAAGAGTCCCTGGTCAGCAGGGCAGTGCTGGCACATCCCCCCTGGCCCTGCAGCCTCCAGGGAGTCTCCTGTGCCAGGCCAGGGCTCAGAATGCTGTGTGTGCCTGACTGATCCCAGAACAGCCCAGGCAGTGCAGGGAGAGGTTTTCATGCCATGGCTTTGGCAGTATTCCTTCAAAGGCCAGAGAGCTGCAGAGCAGAACAGCTTTAGTGAACAAGCACTCAGCCCCTGCAGGCCCCTGGCCTCCAGGATGATGGGTCCATTTGACATGGATCCATCATCAGGCAGCAGGAGCTGAGTTAGAATTGTGTTCCCTGAGCCTGGATCACCTCCCAGTGCCCAGACAGCAGCAGAGCAGAGGTGACTGAGCCCCCCTGAGCCCAGGGTGTTGGTAGAAGGAGCAGCCTTGGCCAGCACGTGCCTCTCTCCCTTTGTGGGATTTGAGCCCTTGCAGCTCTGTCTGTGGAAACAGAACGCAGTGCTGAGTGTCAGGAGTTGGGGGCTTTGGCAAAAATGTCCTGTGCTCCTGGGCCAGGTAGTTTGGGAATTGCCAAACTCTGTAGGAGCTTTGTGCCTTCACTAAATGATTTCAAAGCTCCACTAAGTGCATGGGAAGGAGAGCATAGAACCAGAGTATGTTAAGGATGGAATGGACCTTAAAAGCCTCTGGGCAGGAACACCTCCCCCTAGAGCAGGTAGCTCCAAGCCCCATCCAGCCTGGCTTGAAACACTTTCAGGGCTGGAACCTCCACAACAGCCCTGGGGAACCTGCTCCAGTGTCTCACCACCCTCAGAGTAAAAAATTTCCTAATATCTAACCTAAATTTCCTTTCTTTCAATTTATACCTGTAACTCCTTGGCCTGTCACTACAAGGCAGCAGAGATGTTTTAAACTCAGCAGACTGGTGGCTGAAATTGGAAAGCAGCCCAAGGAATGGGTTAGAAATTAGAAGTCAGCCCCAAGGCTGAGGGAAGAGGAGGGTCCATATCCTCTCCTGCAGCATCAGGAGCTGGTTGCATCCAGCTCAGAGTCAGGGACTAGCACTGAGGCAGCCTGGAAAATAGAGTATAACAGAGGGAATGATTGTAGTGCAATGGACATCTCTCCCCAGGCTGTGAGAGCAGGCTGCCCCTGCACCTCTCAGGGGAAGGCCAAGGACCCTTGGAAGAATTCAGCTCTCCTACTCTGAACCTTGGGAACATTTCTATTGACACCCCCCATGTCTATGAGGTGAGCAGCAGGGCTTGGGGTGGATCCTGATGGCTCCTGAGGGAGGAGCAAGCCTGGTGGAAGTGTGGAATTGCTGCCAACCTGGGCATTTGTGAGCAGGGAATATTTGATCTACTGGTGAAATCTGGGAGGGTCTGAAAGGTGTGTCTGTTGTTCATGAAGGCCCAGTTCCTTCCTTGGGAATCAGCTGGGAGGCTTGCTGCAAAACAACCCCTTGGCACATGAAACGAAGCCTGGGTCAAAAAGGGATGTTCAGAGGCTTTTGTGGCAGTGCCAGACACAAGGCACCTTTGGACTGGGCTGTTCAGAAGCAGCTGGAAGAAACTGGCTGCCTTTGAGCTTCAGTCCACTGCAGACAGCTTCCAGTCAAGTGTCTCCTGCTTATTGCTGCAAGTCACAGGAAAGCCATCCAGCCTCCTGGCTCAGTGCTGGCCCTTGCAAAGGACTTGCGAGTTCTTTCCCTTGCTGACCAGTCCCTCACCACACTTCAGCCTTGGTGCATCTCTGGCTCTAGAAAGAGAAAAGTGTTCCTGGGAATAAAGCAAAGCATTTTTCTACCTATTTGCCTCCTCCCCAATAGTGTCAAGTTTGCAAAAAAAACCAAAGAGAGAGCAGCTGAAAGAGGTAGAAAATGAGGCACTACATCATGCCAGACACTTCCAAAAGCTTGGCTGTGGGAGGCAAAGACATGCTGAGTTTTCTTACCAAAAGATGGTGCTGTCTATACATTTTGATGCTGATGCCTCATAATCAGTGTATTGTTTTCATGACATGGGAAAAGGTGGATGAGTAGATGATGCTGTTGGAGCTGTGCTCAGTGGGGCAGCAGCAGCTCTGGGGTGATTGACTACACAGAGCTGCAATCAGCCCATGTTGCTCTCAGGGCCAGGTCTGAATGAACTTGGTGTAGCTGATCAGAGGTGCACTGCTCTGTGTCCATGGGATAACCCCAGGGTTGTGGACTCCAGTTCTGTGGAGTTGCCACTGCTTTGCATGAAAAAGGGCAGAACTTGTCCTGTTGTATTTTTTTGCCATTCATAGCATCGTCTGCTATTTCTGGGTATTAATTGCATCATTAGACAATAACTCACAAGAAGGGAAGATTCCACATGTATTTCCATTTTGCTTTCTTGCTGCTGCAGGTGGAACTGATAAACCTAGGAGCTATTGATGCTCCCTTCACCTATAGCCCTTCAACTGCAAACATGGGCTTCTGCTTCAAGTTTGCGCCTGAGGAGGGCATCATTGCACCAGGCGGGACCCAGACTGCTCAGATCTCCTTCAGTGCCACCATAGTGGGGAGGTTTGAGGAAGAATTCCAGTTCAGTGTGGCTGGATCTCCTATGTCTGCACTCCTGACTATCAAGTACGGACGGTCAAAGCCAGGCACGCGCCCGCACGTCCTCAGCACAAGAGAAAGGGGTGCCCCATGTGAGCGGTCCCAGCCCCTCCACGGGTGCGGGATCGGTGCTGAAAGCCAGACAACTCTCAGTGGTGGATCACTGGGCTCGTGCGTTAATGAAGAATGCAGCTAGCTGCAAGAATTAATGTGAATTGCAGGACACATTGGTCATCCACACTTTAAACACACTTGCGGCCCCATGTTCCTCCCAGGGCTACGCCCATCTGAGTGTTGCTTGACGATCAGTCGCCGTCCAGCGGCCACCACGGTGGTTCAGCTGGGGTTGCCTCACAGGCAAGTTGACTGTGGTCAGCGGCGGTGGTGATGGTGGCTCACCGGTGCCCAGAGGGAAGGCGGTCAGGGGTTTGGCAAGGGATGCGTTTCCCTCGGCGGCCTCAATTTTTTCCCTGTGACCCAGCAGGCATCATCATCGTCATGGCTGTCATCGTCATTGTTGCCGCGCAGGGCTTTCATCCCCCTATATGCAGACTCAAGGACTGCTCCGTAGTTCCCCACTCCCAGAGTGAGCCACTGGGGCAGAGTTTGTCCTTGCAGGGCCTGTACCGCGGTACGGTGGTGGTGGCAGCTGAGGAGAGTAAGAGACAGCGTTGAAAGCACCGCCGTGGGCCGAGAGAAGGGAGAGGACAAGAGGGAGATAAGGCACAGGCCTCACCCCCAGCCTCCCCCCTACGTGGACGGCTGTCTGCAGGTGGGTACTGCAGGGGTACTGTGCCACTGTGCGTGCGCGTGAGGCGAGAGCGCTGGGGACAGATGTTCCAACCCCCTCCTCCCTTCGCCTGCCCTCCTCCTCTTCTGTTGTGGTCTCGGGGCGCAAATAGCACCATGGCTTTTCTCTCTCTCTCCACCAAGGCCATCACGTGCCACCTGGTCCCCCATCAGGGCTGTCTCTGCCACACTCCCTTTTCGGTTCTCATCTCCGGGATGGGGCACTCTGTCTCCGCTTCTCTCCCTCTGGCTTTGTTTTCCCCTGGTGCGAGGGCGCCAGTGGGGAGGAAGGTGAGGCTGGTAGGTGGGAGAAGCTGGCTGGCTGTTGGCCTGTTGGCATGCTGCTTCTTTAGGAGCTGCATGGGCCAGGAGGTGCGGCCAAGCTTTGGCCTTGCGACCTCAGATCAGACATGGCAAGCCGCTGAATTTAGCATATAAGTCAGCCAAGGAAAAGAAACTAACGAGGATTCTCTCAGTAATGGCGAGCGAAGCAGGAAAAGCCCAGCGCCGAATCCCTGCCCCGCAGTGGGGTGTGGGACATGTGGCGTACAGAAGTCCCAATCCCTGGCGGCGCTCTCGGGGGACCCAAGTCCTTGTGATCGAGGCCGCAGTCCGTGGACGGTGTGAGGCCGGTAGTGGCCCCCGGCACGCTGGGCCCGGGACTTCTCGGAGTCGGGTTGCTTTGGAGTGCAGCCCAAAGTGGGTGGTAAACTCCATCTAAGGCTAAATACTGGCACGAGACCAATAGCCAACAAGTACCGTAAGGGAAAGTTGAAAAGAACTTTGAAGAGAGAGTTCAAGAGGGCGTGAAACCGTTAAGAGGTAAACGGGTGGGGCCTGCACGGTCCGCCCGGAGGATTCAACCCGGCGAGTTGTGGTCGGCACGGGTTCAGTGGAACCTCGCCTCCGCCTCCCTTCCGTCCCCTGGGCGAACCCTGCCCGCGGAGGCAGGCTGGTCCGGGGACTGCCGCCCAGCCGGCAGCTGGCGCTGTCCGGGCACATTTCCTCTGCGACGGTGCGCCACGACCGGCTCCAGGTTGACTGGGAAGGCCTCCGGCGGGCAGGTGGTCCGACGGGCAGGTGGTCCAGTGCTGCGCGAGCAGCGGCGGGTATTACAGCCCTCGGGCAGCAGGTCTCGGCCAATCCCGGGGCCGAGGGAAAGGACTGCCACTGCGCCCTCCTCCCCCCACATCAGTGGCGCCGTGATGGGGGACAACATTTCCCTGCCTCTCATGGGGGGGGGGGAGTGGCATCCTCGCAGCACGGCGTTTCGCGCAGGGGTGTGGGGGCTGGGCCTGCCAGTCTCCGGCGCTGCTGTCAACCAGGGTGGACTGTCCTCAGTGCACCCTGACCACGCGGCGCTGCCGGGCCAGGCTCACGGGCCGCGCTGGGGCACCCGGGGTCCGCAGCGATGTCGGCTACCCACTTGACCCATCTTGAAACACGGACCAAGGAGTCTAGCATGTGCGCGAGTCAGGGACCATTGTCGAGAGCCCGCGGCGCAATGAAGGTGAGGGCCGGCCCGCGCCGGCTGAGGTGGGATCCCGGGGTGCGTGTCGCGCCTGGCAGCCCCGGGCGCACCACTGGACCGTCTCGCCCGCCGCCCCCTCGCGGGGCTGGGGAGGTGGAGCGTGAGCATCCATGCTAGGACCCGAAAGATGGTGAACTATGCCTGGGCAGGACAAAGCCAGAGGAAACTCTGGTTGAGGTCCGTAGCAGTCCTGACATGCAAATCGGTCGTCCGACCCGGGTCTAGGGGCAAAAGACTAATCAAGCCATCTAGTAGCTGGTTCCCTCCGAAGTTTCCCTCAGGATAACTGGCACTCGGCAATGGGCAGTTTTACCCAGTAAAGCGAATGATTAGAGGTCTTGGGGCCGAAACGATCTCAACCTATTCTCAAACCTTCAATGAGTAAGGGAGCCAGTTCGCTGGCGTGGAGCCGCGCCGTGGAATGCAAGTGCTCAGTGGGCCACTTCTGGTAAGCAGAACTGGCGCTGTGGGATGAATCGAACGCCGGGTTAAGGCGCCCGATGCCAACGCTCATCAGAGCCCAGAAAAGGTGTTGGTTGATCTAGACAGCAGGACAGTGGCCATGGAAGTCGGAATCCGCTAAGGAGTGTGTAACAACTCACCTGCCGAATCAACTAGCCCTGAAAATGGATGGCGCTGGAGCATTGGGCCCATACTCGGCCGTCGCTGGCAGTGCGAGGCCCGCGGGGGCTAGGCCGCGACGAGTAGGAGGGCCGCTGCGGTGCGCCTCGAAGCCTGGGGCGTGGGCCCAGGTGGAGCTGCTGCAGGTGCAGATCTTAGTGGTAGTAGCAAATATTCAAATGAGAGCTTTGAAGGCTGAAGTGGAGCAGGGTTCCATGTGAACAGCAGTTGAACATGGGTCAGTCAGTCCTAAGCGATAAGGTGAGCGCCATTCCAAAAGGGCGGGCGGTGGCCTTTGTTGCCCTCAGCCGATCGAAAGGGAGTCGGGTTCAGATCCCCGAATCCTCCGAGTGGTGGAGATGGGCGCCACGAGGCACCCAGTGCGGTGACGCAACCGATCCCAGAGAAGCTGGTGGGAGAGTTCTCTTTTCTTTGTGAAGGGCCGGGCGCCTCGGGGAGAGTTCTCTTTTCTTTGTGAAGGGCCGGGCGCCTTGGAATGGATTCGTCCCGAGAGAGGGGCCCTCACCTTGGAAAGCGTCGCGATTCCGGCGGCATCGGGTGAGCTCTCGCTGGCCCGTGAAAATCCAGGGGAGAGGGTGTAAGTCTCATGCCGGGTCGTACCCATATCCACAGCAGGTCTCCAAGGTGAACAGCCTCTGGCATGTTGGAACAATGTAGGTAAGGGAAGTCGGCAAGCCGGATCCGTAACTTTGGGATAAGGATTGGCTCTAAGGGCTGGGTTGGTCGGACTGGGGCGCGAAGCGGGGCTGGGTGCGTGCCGCAGCTGGACAAGGTGCCGCGCGCGGGTGAGTGCGCTCCGCGTGGCCCGCCCGGGCGCTGGGGCATGCGCGCGCACGGTGGCGACTCTGGACACACACCGGGTCCTTCCTGTGGATCGCCCCGGCTGTGGCGGGCGCCGCCCGCCCCCCGCTCCGCCCGCCCTCCACCTTGCCGCGGCCGGTGCCCCAGTGGCAGCCGTCATCGTTGCGCACCACCGCCCCAGCGGTTCCCGCCAATGGGGTTCCCGCGGTGTGCGGCCAGCATGCGCGCAGCCGCAGCCGGCGTCGGCTGAGCAGTTTGTGCGGGGGAGGGTCCCCGGGGGAGGGTCCCTGGGCCAGCGCCCCGCCTCAGTCGGTGCCTAGCAGCCGGCTTTGAACTGGTGCGGACCAGGGGAATCCGACTGCTTAATTAAAACAAAGCATTGTGAAGGCCCGAGGCGGGTGTTGACGCAATGTGATTTCTGCCCAGTGCTCTGAATGTCAAAGTGAAGAAATTCAATGAAGGGCGGGTAAACGGCGGGAGTAACTATATTTACTAACTGGGCATAGCCGCGGAAGTCGCACCTCCTCGTGGTCCTGCCGGATACCCTCGTGGTAACTGAGTCGACTTCTGCCCCAGTGTGGGAGAGGGCACATATCAGCCCTCCCTATTGTTGGAGTCACCACCCAACAATAGTTTCACGAATCGCTGAAACAAAAAGGTTGGCACAGTTAGTTCGCTGTTGCACAGAGCCTTGTCCACGGGCTGTTGTTGACACAGTTGGTAGTTTGAGAGAGGGTCAGCTACTATATGCTTCTACCCTCACTTGGACTTGTCACTTTATTGCTTACCGGACTGACAAAATGGCTTTGCGTTATATCTCGACTACCACTCAGACTGACCCATTAGATCTAAGGGTCATTGATGCCAAATTACCATCTATGCCCTCTGTGCCCAGGGAAGAGGGATTCGATCTTGCAAGTTTGGAGTTTTTTAACTCCAAAATTGTTAAAGAAGATGGTGTACATCATGTGGATGTTTGGTAGGGTTTGGGGCAACTCCCTGAGCCCTATGAGATCTCCCCTATGGGGATGGCCCAGGATGAGGCTGAGAGTGCAGTGGGAGGTACCGAAGAGCCCAAAACACCTGAGG